CCGGGTATAAGACAAAATTATTCAAACTGAACCAAATTACTTGTACTCATCATCACCTGATTGATTGTTTACACTGAACTTTTGTTCATTCACTTAACACTGAATATGTTTAATCTCCAGTAGGTGGAGCTAGGAAATAAATCTCAAATAGGATTGTATCATCATTTATCTTTCCTCTCTTTAAAACTAGAATAGACCTTCATATATAGAACCTAGAGAATTTACCTATTGAAGGCTATATAGTGAGGACGGCCTATAAGTCCAAGATACATTCCAAAAAACTTGGACTTATAGCTAAACAACTTCAAGCGGGGAATTTTCTTCCAGTGGCCGACTTCCATTTAAGCAAATTGGGGGGAGTGTTTCGCACAACTTATAGTGGGGAATGGGAGGACTTACAATGCATCAGTTCCTACAGATGTCAACGACTTTAGTGTGGAACAGATGTATACCGGGGCGGCATAGTGGGGACACCCTGTAGTCTCATTTATTTTTAGGGTTTTTTTAAAAACAAATATTAGTTCTTGAACATGTATCAGACTGCCAGGCCTGGAGCCAGAGTACTTCTGTCTAGCCACTGAGTTGGTACACCATGGGCAACAGCAGTACAAGCATCCCTTCTATGCCCTGTCAATATGCCTTGATGATAACTGAATCCTCAGTGGCTCTTAAACACACCAACAAGGTTATGAGTTGTGATGGTGGATTGCAGGTTCAGACACCTGTCCACTAGGAACTGAATTAAGATCACTAGTTCATTCCACACAGATCTCTTAACAGCCATCAGAAACAATATTGGTAGATACCGCACTGGGCCTGATTTGAATGAAGACATGAACAACTTTGTATCCTATTACCAGTCTCAAGAGCCTTCCCATCCCACACAACCATGCGTACACAGCTCACATTAATTTTAGCTAAAGCTGCACATGTGGATCAAGTTATGCATGTGCACTCACAACTCTGAGTATAAACTGTACACCACAACAAGATGTATTATCTCATTTATACTCAGTTCCCGTCCCAAACACACACACACACACACACACACACACACACACACACACAGGCTGCGTCTAGATTGGCATGATTTTCCGGAAATGCTTTTAACGGAAAAGTTTTCCATTAAAAGCATTTTCGGAACAGAGCGTCTAGTTTTTGCGGAAAAGCGTCCGTGCCAATCTAGACACGCTTTTCCGCAAAAAAGCCCTGATGGCCATGCTCGCCATCGGGGCTTTTTTGCAGAAAACAAATCTGAGCTGTCTACACTGGCCGCTTTGCGCAAAAGGGACTTTTGCCTGAACGGGAGCAGAATAGTATTTCCGCAAGAAGCACTGATTTCTTACAGTAGGAAGTCAGTGCTTTTGCAGAAATTCAAGCAGCCAGTGTTAGACAGCTGGCAAGTTTTTCTGGAAAAGCGGCTGATTTTCCGGAAAAACTGGCTAGTCTAGACACAGCCACAGGGTAAAAGTGAAAGGAGAACTAAGCTTTTTAGTTCCAAATGACACATTAGCCCATTCACTCAGGAACATCTGGTTATTGCATTTCCAGTCAGTACTCTTGCCCTTCATTCTGTTTTCACTTCATACTTTTTACACTATTCAAAATGTGTTATTTTGGTTGGCTATATGTTTAGCAGCCTGACGAGGTTGAGGGAAAAAAAACAACGGAATTTTAAAACCTGACATCACTGAACACAAACATTATTTTCATAAATTTATTTGTGGATATTTTGCTTTTGCACTATGAGCCCTTCACTACAATAAGGGTTTTTGGGGGAACCATGGTCTATGATTTATGTGAAAAATACTCTACTTTGGAATTTATTATTGATTTCAGCAGACTTGGCAAGAATATAACTATTTCATACCTGACTATATTACAATAAAATACCTGTCCTTGGCCTGTGTCAACTGACTTTGTCTCACAGGGCTCACACTGGGGGAGGAGGTAATAAAGTTACAGGGTAGATGTCTGGAACCGAGGCTCTGGGAACCTCCCAACTCGCCTGAGCATCTACACTTCAATTTTATAGCCCAAAGATCCCAGCCAGCTGCCACAGGCCAGCAGGTGGCATTGTATTGACGGGAACACAAACCTTGAGGGGCTTTGCTGTGTTTGAGAGTGCGAGCCAGATTCCACCCTAGCTTGTGCTGTCTTATGCAGTCATAACTCAAGATGCTGGGACAAGCCGTGAGAAGAATAGCAGTGGTGTAAGGTCTTCACATCTCCCTCTCTTCAGCACAGCTCCAAACTAGGGTTGTTAATGGTTAATTGGTAAGCAAGAGGCTTATTGGCATGCTTAACAATTAATCAGCCCTTGGCAGTCAGCCACACTGGGCCAGAGCAACCTCCACCACAGAGGGGCTGGCAGCTAGGTGGTGGGACTTCACTGCTGCAATGGGACTGGGCAGCGGGCCTGGCAGCAGACCCCGAGTTAAAAAAGTTAACCATTTTAACATCCTTACTCCGTGGTGTAGGGGGCATGGCCTGGAAAGCTAGAAGGCAGTCTTGATTGAGAAACACTCAGAGTCCGTCTGCAGAAGGGCCATGGGCTGCCATGGAACCCCCGATTACAACTCCAGGTGCACTTTCCTAGTGGAATTACTAAGAGGGAAGGAAGTTGTGCAAACCACCCCACCCTAGAGTATGGTATATGGGACTATACCACTGACTCCTTAATGGCTGGGGTGGAGGGTGGAGTGCCAATACAGGCTTCCCAGTGCTGGGTTGGGGAGCTCTGAGCCTCTGAGGATGGATCCAAGCAAGTGAAGGGCCACATCTAGCCCCTGGGCCTTAGATTCCGCCCCTGCTATAAGGTTTTAATAATCTGGTTATCACTTCATGTGTTGTATATATTTTCCTTTCAACCAACAGCACGGCTTTTCTTAGGGTTAATTTCTGGACTGAAACAATCAATTAACAAAGCTAACTGGTGAACTGGAGACCTATGCATGTCAGTACATTTGCAGAATTACTCAGTTTTTTATGCTTAAGTTGTGGTATAACATGTACATAACATTCATTATGATTTTTTCTTATTAAAGACTTTCATGGACGCAGTCTTGCATATGCAAAATAGTATACAGCACTGAAAAATATAAATGTATCTATAGCCGTAAATTATCACAGTACTTAACTGAATTACTTGAGAAATGGTATGACATCATGTAATGTAATCAAAGGCTACACATACCCTAGGGAGTAGAATTAAAGTTCAGTTTGACTGTGGCATTTCCTGACTTCTGAGTACTTAACCATACATCTTTAATCTTCCATCTCATTCTCTTAGAATGCAGAGGAAAACATCCCCTTTAGGTCGAAATCTGGCATGGAAAATTTTGATCTCAAAAAGGCAAAGTTTCAGAAAATTATCAGGAACTGAAAATAGGAAGGTATTCTGGAATGTATTACATAACGTGAACAACACCAGTTCCTCTATAGTGGAAGGTTTTACACACTGTGGAAACACTTTAAAAAGTTAAGTCGTACAGTAGGAGGCGACTTTCAAAACATTTCAGTTTCTAGGTCTATCAGTTTCTAGGTCTATCCTTCCCAGTCCCACTTAAGGCCATCAAAATACTATTACTTCATGATGTTGGGGAAAAAGAGTTAATAATCATCATGCAAGAAAAAGGAACTATTTGCCACAAGAACAAATATTCAGTTTTGCTGTCTTTATCAGAGAAAAAGACCTGTTAAGTTTCCCCTCCTGAAGACAGATTTTAAAATTAAGACTATTCCTTGCTGCTCTGAGATTTTGAACTTCATGACAACTCTTTAAATAGAACACTTCTGAATCCATACACTCTGCCCATATTCTATTCTCACAAACTATTACTGGAGAATAAAGAATAGACCAAAAAAATTAACCAATCCCCTTATGCAGCTGAGGCAGACTCTCCACTGCTATAGACAAACTCACAGAAGCAAATGTAATAGGTAAGAAAAGTTCCATCCTTGTACCATAAAATATAGTAACACATTTTAAACAGAAACTTGGGATGCCAGTTTGACCCGAATCTCTAGTATTGGTAAAACATTTGGCCTTCCAGATGCATTACAATTAGAACTAAAGCTAAATTCCTAACATCAGTACACAACTGGATGGAATAACAGCTTTAACTAAATAAGTAAATCTTATAAACTCCTAATCATTTACATATTTTTAATGACTTGATTTTATATGAATATGTGGGAAACATACAAAGAAGGAATCACAGGATAAAGGAAAACATGTAGCCCAAATCATGCTACATAAAAGAAAAGAAAAAGTTGTTTACCTAACAGTCAGACCCTTTCCTTAGGTCTCAGAATACCATACACTCTAAAGAAGCAGGTTTACATTCACTGCAACACACACAAAACAAGATTTTCATCTTGGATTTATACAGCAGATCTTGACTTTAATATTTCACTCTCTCTGCAAATGAAAACAACTAGAAATCCAGACATGTAGGAAGAGCAGAATAATGGAGCACAGAATCAGTACGTGGATCTGAGAGAATTTTCTCCACAGCATTTTGTTAAATCATCCTCTACTTAATATCCAGCTCTGAAGTAACTACTGCATTCACAAAAGAGAAGCAAGTTTATCTTTAAAAAAATAATTTGATTTTGGAACCAGCAAAGTATTTATGAGCAAGAGACATTTGGAAAGAGTATATTACAATTTCCTTAAGGGTTAACATATGCTTGAGTCTTTCTCTGAATGTTATTTTCAAGGAAAACCTAAAATAGATTAAATTATGTCAGAGACTTCAAAGGAAAACACTGTTCTTTCAAGAAGGTTTTTATGTAACAAAAAATTGAGCCCTGCAAGCAGTTCTTGAGTGTACAACTGAGATGCAATTTGATAAACAGCTTTCTGTCATTCAAGGCCAGGCATGTGCAAAACCAGAGTATCAGCACTTTCATCAAAAAACCTATTTACTCTGTCTCATTTTATTGTGACTTTTCCATATTATTTACCCAGTCAATCATAAAAATACATTTCTTACCACTTGTATGAGATACTATGCGATCTGCAGATGACGGATCGTTTTCATTTTCCTTAATGCCACTGTTGCTGTTGTCTTTTTCAAGCAGTCTGTCCACCATTGCAATAATGCAGTTTAAACTCTTCCCCACATTGGCCCACACCCTATCCTGAAAAGAGCATCAGTATCACTACACATTATTGAAAGAAGCATAGAAAGAGATGTATTAGTAGGCTTCTTAATATTGTCTACAGTAGAATTAAGTGTAAAGTGAAGATTAGGTGTCTAAAAATTATGTAACTTAATATCTTTACACAGCACATCATCATTTCAAGGACATTTTTCTTCTGCCTGGGTACTGATTTTTTAAAGCACTGAAAACAGCACATTTTCTGAACCCTGCATTTGCTACAAAGTGACCTATGCTGAACCAGAAAACATAAAAATGAGACACCACAATTACCCACCCGCCTGCCTTTATGCCACATTCAGTATCTAATGCAATTTCATTTTGTACATTTTTCATACAAATTACAACCCATGATACTTTACAGAGTTAGCAACATATAACAAAAACTGCAGAAATAACATAGGGGAAGAGAAATCAAGAGGTATAAGCACAGACGAAAAGATAAAGTCAAGATTTGGAGTGAGACAAGACTTAAATCACTATGCCTGAGACACAGATACAGGAAGGCTCCTGCAGGTGTCAGGAACTGCAAAGGAGAAGGTTCTTAGAATCACAGTAGTGGGATTGTATGGAAGGACAGAGACGGATAAATAGAGAGAAACTGTGAGACAAGGTTAGTTACAAACCTTGGAATGGCTCCATTCACACTTCAAAATTAAATGAGTAATTTGAACTGAATAAATTGCTAGCTAATGGAAGAGAAAGGTGGTGAGTGATGTGATCATTCTTCTATAAACGTGTGATGTGGTGTCCAGACATGGTGTAAGGCATGTTTTGGGGGTGGGAGGCATGAGAAGGGAGTTTTACAAGACAAAGTGAAGGAAGAGGGTAAAGCAGGAGGACTTAAGTAGAGGCAAAATGAAAGGAATATCCCAAAGCTGTGGAGGTGGGGATTGGAAAGATTCAGTCCAAAAATGTGTGGAAAAAGGAAAATTTAGACTAAAAAACAATACTACAGTTACAGACAAATGTAAAGAAAGGGAAGCTGGATGGAGACAGAAGCTGGATTTGTGCCAGAACATCTGAGGCAAACTTCGTAATTAATCTAATAACTATTCTGTATTGCTTATCACGATACTTAATGGCATATCAATCTTCTGCAGAATGCATCATACTTTCAGAAGTTGCTGCAGTATTTCAGAACTTATGTATACTGTACAGATGGAAGTTCCCTGCTTTTCCATGATGGTGGTTTTTTTTTTAAATGATTCACTTACTTTATAACAAAGAATTTGCTTTCCAATTCCAAACTGAACCCCCTAAACTATCATAGATTGTATAATACATAGTGAGAAAGATAACTAACACTGTAAAATAATCTTGATTTATGTATAAGATTAAATAACTGGAGATATGCAGAATGTGAAGTAGATTTATGAAAAATACAGTTATATATGTTTAGAATGAGTATTGCATGCATTATATAGTATCTATTACAGGTATATTAAAGTGGTGGCAACTATATAGGAACACAAATGCTTCACTGAGACATGTGATTTCAAAGGGAAACCAATACAAAATTTGAATGAGTTATATATAATCAGTATAATCAGCTGTGAGTGCTTGTAACTTAACATCTGTTCATGTGATAAATCTATTGTCATGATGACATAATGAGGTTTTATATTAATCAGGAAAATGTGAGTGTGTATATATACACACACACACACACACAAGGGAGGGTGTTTTGCAAACAAACAATATAAACACAATGAAAGTACTCAGAAGACATACATACTACATTCATTAGTGACGCTAGTCTTCCTATGGAAGAAATACAGAGTGTTGCTAAAGAATGTGTTTTTGCTTTATTTAGAACATTCTCCTGATCAAAATAGTTTGCAGTTTTTTGAGAACTATTTTGTTCAGGAGAATGTTCTAAATAAAGTCTTAAGTATCTTCAAGTGGTAAGAAATTAGTAACTCAGGCACAATTATTGTTCACCACTTAGTTTACCAATGAGCCAATAAGTTTCAAAATCAGCCTAAAATAATGTGTACAACAAAAAAGTGTGGAAAACCAGCAGTTGTATATCCACAATCAACAATTAGACACCTAACTATCTGATCGTTGCATCAATATGGGGTATTTGCACAAGCTAATAATTGCATGCATAATAATGAAACCCCAAGTCAGAGGCCGGGCAGAGGCCCCATGGAAAGCTTTAACTCTAGATGCCAGCTCTAACTTAAGAGTGACTGAAAACTATTGAGAAAAATGAAGAAATGTGTTTAATTTCAACCATGAGTGAATGTGAATTTTGAAAAGGGAATTCTGCAAAGAATGATGAAGTACAGTACACAGGGAAAAAAAGATGTGCTCAAGCAGCGATAAGTCTTTAATAAGCATCCTCTGTTATTGCACAAAACCAATGCAAATAAAATTTCTCTTCACAAACTCGAGACTGTTTTTCTTCTTTTAAATTAACAGTTAACTCAGAAATGAAATTATATCTGCATAATATACACTGCTCAAGGGCATTCACTGAGGGAGTTTTGGGGGTTTTATGTTTTTGGTAAATAAGGGTCATAAACATTAATTTGCCGACAACATCATTTCTGATCTAATATCTAGGTGAGCAAGAGCAACAGAAGGAGTAAAGTGCTTCTGGGTACCTTGTAGAAGAAGCCAAGAGAAAAGGAAGTAACTGCATTGAGGAGTCACAAGGATTATCTGAGACTAAGCACCAATATTTGTACTTTTCTGCCAATGGGGGAATAGGACCAAAATTTTAACAAAGGATTCCTTCAAGTTTTCCATCTCATTCATATGACATTTCTTACATAAAAAAAAACACTCACCCCAATAGGGTTGACAGATGGTTGAAACAAAAATATTGAAACCCTGCTGCCCCCCCCCCCCAAAAAAAACTGGGAAAAAATTCTATTGAAGAAAAAAAAAGGGGGGGGGGGAAGGACTCCAAGACTTAAGCAAAAAAATAAAATAAATAAATAAATAAATAAAACAGCATTAAAACAGCACGTCCCCTTTAAGAGTGAGTGCAGGGATAGTAACAGGGGAGCGGTTGAGCACTAAGACCTAGGGGAGTCATTGCTTCCCCTTGGTCTTTTTGCCGGCAGCCATTTTGTGCCTGCAGCCTTGCGGAACCAGGTAACCAGTGAGAAGAGAGGGAGGCCAGGTGCTGAGTATTTGTAGGGTGCCCGGCATTTTTGCCTCCTGGCTGGGGAGGGTGGGGGGAGGAGGAATCAGAAAATACCGAACATCTTAGGTGTCCGGTATTTTCTCAGGTTTTTTATTTTACTGGACAGGAGGCAAAAATACTGGACTGTCTGGGTAAATACCAGACACCTAGCAACCCTACTCACCAAATAAAGTGAATTCCATACTATTCTCCTGAACACAAAGAAATCCATATTCCATATTATTTCCCACCCTTCAAAATATCCATGATTTCTATACAGTCTTCCGCCATCCTATTGCTCCTTCCACCCACCTCCCATCTTCTCAGTTCAGTATGCTTCACCCTACCTGACAACTCAGGAAAACTGTTTCATGGGTAGGCTCCTCACAGACAGAGTAACAGTAAGCAGGAGAATGTCCTTAGACCTGGCAGCCATAATGGGAGACAAAAGCCAGCCTGCTGCCTTTATCTGCAGGGTAGGTGGCTGTGGGTGCCCATAATGGTGAATTAGGTAGTGGGCATCCTTTCATACTTGAGGTGGGTGGGGCTCCCTGACTGCCAGGGATAAGCTAGTGCCACGGGTTCCCTGAAGTGTTGGTGGGAGATCGGAGGGAAGGAACGAGGCTTTTGGCTCACTCCCAGTGCTTGTTCTTTAAACTTTAGATAGGTAGGCCTATGACAGGAATGGAAAAGAGAAGGGCTGCAATGGGTGGAGGCTGCTACTCAGTTCATCTGCAGCTTGGCTTTGCCTCTTCTCCTCCGCCTTTCGGGAGGCAGGTGGGATATGGGCCTGAACAGTGTATTTAGCAATGCATCCTCAGTTCATTCCTACTGCCGCTTGAGGGGGGATGCAAGAGAGAAGCTTCTCTTACAGAAGCTACTGTGGCAGTGGCAGGTGTACCCACACAATGCCAGCCCACTGAGTTTCCAAAGCTAGCTCAGCCCAGCATCAGATTTTTATGACCAGTCTTCATAATTTAAGTAAGCCTGTTTAACAATTCTCTTTCATACCCTTCATCGGGGTAGTGCTAGCCCATTGGAGGCCTTAAGGAGAAATATTTTTGGACCCCTTTCCCTGCAACACATACAAATAATTAACTGGGAGGCCCAAGAAATAGCGTAGCCTGCTTATGCCTTTACCTACAAATGTAACTTTCCTGGTAATACCCTGGTAGCAGAAAGCCAGCCTAAGAATTTTAGGAAAGGCTAATAATATGGCATCTGATACAGGAGAACCACTTACACTCATCTTACATTGATGACTTAGTTGGCGTTTTCCTAATTTGCATGGCTGGTAAAAGGAAAATGTAAATGGTAATTCTCTGAGTTACATCTCAGACATAACCCCCTCGTTTTACACACTAGGGAGGAAGAGAGTGCGTGTATGTATGTGTACACATGCTTAGCTCTCCCTCAGCTTCCTGCTATAGAAGGGGAGAACAGCTGAGCCCTCCCAGCGGGTTTACAGGGGTTTAAATTTTCAATGATGTCTTTGCAAGGAGAAGGGGCAGATCTTTTGCTTTTTCCTTTTGAAAGAAGAGACAGAACTGTGTCATGGGGCCCAGAGGCTGCCTTTGTTTCCACAGGCCTCAACAAACACCTTGCAGAGCCCATCCCTTCCCCACCAACCAGCAGAGGTTTCCTTTTTACACAGTAGAACACATCTCAGAGGTCTGAGGTGCACTTCACCTGCTTAAGTTATAATGCAGACATAGGGTTATGTGCCAGAACCACATGTTAACAGTCCTTAATGGAATGTTCATAATAGATCTTGTATCTTAATAAATGTTCGTGAATCTTGGCTGATGTCTTCTCAAGACATGTGACAGTGTTTTGGAGTGAGATTAGATGATTGTGGGTGGGAGAATATTTTACAAAGGAGTTACAGAATATTGGTACACTGATTAAAATACTATCAAAATAAAATTATATATAAAATACTGATTGCTTTTCCCAGCCAATTTGCAACTGCATAATTTTTATTAATATTATTATTATTAATATTTTGATGTGTCATCTTCTACAAGTGCCATTTTAACTAAGAAAAAAGTCAGCTTGTTCTATCCATTCTATTTTTTATTATTACAACACAAATAGCATTGTAACATCAACCATGTTAACTAATCAGTCAGAAATGTAGAGCAGAAAACACTTCCAAGTGGCAGTCTGCCCATCCACTCCTGCATTATGCATAAAAAGACACTTTTTCCCCTCCCTGGAAGGAGGTTCCAGGATAGCAGAAGCAGCTGGCAAGCAGAGAAGGAAGTAACCATCCAGAGGCCATCTGTAAGTATTAGGTTAAATATTTTTCCTTAAGCTGTAACATTTTGGTATTACCTAAGCATAGTGTTTACAATTCACCAGCATAAATAGCTCGATCAATTCTGCTGTCAAAAGTCTGGCACTAATGTTTGTATCGGACATCCAAACAGAAAGGTGTTTTAAGCACTGGTGCTCAGGGCTTTGATCCTGCAACTGGATCAGCGCAGGAAGATCTATACTTCATTATAGACCCCAATTTGGATCCAGTGGCAAAAACAGGACCTATCTTAAGCAGAATAGAAATGTATCCTCAATAAAGGCTAAGAAAAACCCTCACCCCCAAATATAAATAATCAACAAAAATGGAAATACAAAAAGCTATTTTATAAAGGGGTTTAGTTTGTATATTAACCTTTAGCCTAATGGCATATCCTCCTTAGGCACTACAGGCAGCTTCATAAGTTATTAGAAATCTGCATCTGCATACTTTAAAATATAATTTATTTGTACAACACACAGATTAGTCAAGACTCTTAAGAATAGGAATAGTTCTGTTTCTCAGATCTCCTTGCTCACTCAATGTGAAGAATAGAACATAATTCGAAAGTAGAAAGCAACTCCTTAACAATTATTTGGTTTTGCTTTTTTAAAAAAAGTTGGGCCTAGAACTCATCACTTCAGATGCTCATAAAATCAAATCACCAGAATTGTAAAAAAGATAATGTGGTTATTTATAGTACCAAGACCTGGATCAATTTAATGTCCCACAAAACTCTTATTTTAGATTTCAGAAAACTAAAAACTTAGAATCTCATCTGCAAGAAGCTTCTGGTTTGTTTGATATAGTGGAAAAAAAGCAGTGTGTATCTTCACCAACACAAAGCTGAAGCTACTGCACAGAAAACATAATATTCCTTTGAGGTTTAATTGTTTTCTTACTTCAATAAACTTTCCAATAAATGTTATTGCACAGTTAAATTGCAGCTCAGACCAAGCATTTTTCTTAAACTTTCCAAGCACTTGCTCTGATGTTTCTATTCCCACCTTGTTGATAAGAGTTCAATAATTAAAACTAAGATCACATGTGCCATCAGTTTTCCATTAAGACAGAGAGTGGAAAGCAAATGAGAGGATATTTTAGACCCTGATCTCACAATAGTTAAGCACACGCTTAACTGTAAGAAGGCAAGAAACCCAGTATTATTTGTTCTTCTTAAAGTTCTAGCTTCCAGAGTCAAGTGATTATGTGACAATTTCAGCTTTCACTTAAAACAGGGCACATTTTTTCATAGTTTCTTTATCAGAAAGAAGAATATTTTTTCCATATTCAAGGTATAATCAGAAAAATTGAACAGAAATAAAATAGAAGATATAGGATGAATGTGGTAAGGAAGAAGCATTCACTGAAATAACTGATTCAGAAAATCTCAGCAGTATAAATTGTACAAAACATTGAACAATCTGATAAAAATATTAACTTTAAAAACCGTGTTTGATTCTTTCATGGCATTTCAAATATCCTAGAAGAACAGACTTAGAAAAAGCAGTTCTCTTTCACTGATCATTAGTTCATGCATTTTTAAGCTATTTACGTTCACTCGGAAAAAAATGCATTTTTATTTCATACTCTTTTTGAGTCCCTTTGATATCTGCTTAAATGACGAAAAGCACAACTTTTCCCCATATGGTCACGAAGATGTTCATTTCCAACACTTTTATATATACAAGCTGAGCAGTCACACAAACAAATTATTCATCAGAAAATTCTTTCAAGTTATTTTTGTGGGATTTCATTAGAAAAGTATTCTTGGCAGTCAAATGAATTAAAAATTGGATCTATTCATATGTAAAATAAAGTAGTGTTTAAAGTTTTAAAATTGTCTCCATCAAGAGGAGACATGGAGATTAAGAATTTCTTTTTTGTCTGTGCTTAGCTGTGAATTTTTTTTTAGAGATTCATGCAAGAATTTTGAGGTTTCTTACCCACTCTTCTTCATCATATTCTGAATGGTGAGGTATAGAGTTCTGCCGTTTGATCTGAGATGGATGGTCCTGATGCGGTGGATCACCACATTCTTCCACACTGTTTCTGGGCACAGTTGGCTTCTTGAGGACACAACCTGGACGGGCTGTGTACAGCGCTAAAAGGGCACTTCTGACTAGCTGATCCTTGAATGCATTCACAAATAACTTTGTCTGGAAAGAAAGTAATGGGTTGTTAGGCTTAAGTGTGTAATAGCTCTAATTATTAAAATACATATTTTTGTTTTGGTAGAATGGAAATTGATCGCTACGAGACACAGAAAGGAATGTGTACCAACCACTGGAGATCAATATCAGGTTCTGGAACAATGCCAGTCTCTGAAATCCACACTTCTAAAAGTTAATGCAAAAGGCACAGTGTCTGTTATAAAGACCATCTGTCTACAGAATTGTGTTTAATTCTAGTTCTAAATTTTCTCTGTAGAGAAAGGGTTCTATAGGGATAACTGGTTGAAACACTATCAATCTGCTGCTCCTTTAAGTGTGTCCCAACAAATATCAGAAGAAAATGTGATTCATTTCAGAAATTTCTTTCTATAAAACAAACAAATAGATTATAGCACAAGGAAGGCAATGCTTACAAGTGGTACTGAAGTATGTGCACAGAGCATGAGCTCAGATCAGTGTTGGAATAAGTCATAGGCACAGGCACTACAGGTTCATGCTTAGGGAACAAACTTTTGGAGTTAATAGTGCAATGGTGTCAGAATCTCATCTTTCCTTAAAAAATACAATTCTAGACCTTATGATTGCAAGGACAAGTTTGAAAATGTGACCCAAGCATAAAAAATTAAGCTGCCTCTACAGAGAAACCCGAAGAATGGCTTTAAAATTGGGTAACTCCCCATTCACCTAAGTAAGGGTATGACTACACTGCCACCCTAGTTCGAACTAGGGTGGCTAATGTAGGCATTAGAACTCGCAAATGAAGCCCGGGATATTTATATATCCATATTTATATATTTATTTGCATGTTCCTGGGCGCCATCATTTTTAAATGCCCCGTAGTTCGAACTCCCTGCCCTCGGCTACACGCGGCACGGGCTAGGTAGTTCGAATTAAAGCTCCTAATTTGAACTACCGTTACTCCTCATTGCAGGAGGCGTAACGGTAGTTCGAATTAGGAGCTTTAATTCGAACTACCTAGCCTGTGCTGCGTGTAGCCGCGGGCAGGGAGTTCGAACTACGGGGCATTTAAAAATGGCGGCGCCCAGGAACATGCAAATAAAGCCCGGGATATTTAAATCCCGGGCTTCATTTGCAAGTTCGAATGACTACAATAGCCACTCTAGTGTGAACTAGGGTGGCAGTGTAGACATACTCCAAGGTATTAACTAATATCATCTCAGCAGGAGACTGAAGTGCAGGAGGATACGAGAGCAACAAGCTTGTCCTTACATACCAGTGGTGTAGGCAGACTGATACACTTGGGTGAGCCCCATTTAGGGATGGTAAGCAATGACAGGAGGGTAGGGGCAGGAACTATTGGGGCCACCTGTCGTCCCCCCTCCAGCCACCTGGTAAGTGATGGATGCTGTGTCCAGGGGCCCTGGAATAAAAGGGGAGCAGCTGAAAAAAGTGCACCCCCCCCCCTTCTGACTCTCAGGAAGGTGGCTTCTCTATGGTAATGAAGACTCTTCTGTAGGGTGGAGCTGGCAGCCCCTGCCCACCAGGCTCCCAGGGAGGCAACCTTGCTGTAGCAGTGGGCTCTGCAGTATGAAGCTTATTTAAACATCATACTGCAGAGCCCACAGAGCATGTAAGATTTTTAGCTGTTACACAGTTAACATATAAACAACTTTTAACACCCCTAGTGCAAATATGGGAACAGATCATCTATTTCCCCACTCAATGAATGGAGTTTTTCCCTTTTGTGTAGAGCAGTGACTCTGCTATTTGTCAACACTGTCATCTACCACCTGAGCATACAGGAATGTTTTCTGCCTGGTTCATGAACTATGCTGCGAGAGTGGATGGAGACAGAGCAGACCAGGGGCAGTAAAATAAAGCTTTTCCTCCCCGGTATGCCAGCCATTAATAGAAAAAAAATGATGCATCTAACGCCCTTTCCATAAAGGAGTCTGTACCATTTTTTTCCTAGGAGCATCACGCTCTGCAAGGGCCAGAACCAGTGAAGTGGCACAAAGCCTTTTCCCATGGATGGTCTTGGCTTCCTGTGGATCCTGAGCGATCAGCCAATTTGAAGCAAGGCCCTTCGTACTAGGGATGGACGCAACTCATCAGAGACAGCGGGAGAGGAATGAGGATAGGGCCCCCTCACAGACAGGGGCTGGTCAAAGGCAAGGACTGCTCAAGAGAGCCAGTATCTCCTATCTATTCCAAGCCAGAGCACATCTGGATTGTATAGCCAGATGGTCAGCTGAGTAGTTGCATGCAAGAATGGAAAGCTTCTAGGTGTGCTTTCTGATCAGGCAAAGGCATTTCAAAAATTCACAAAGCTTTAAAGGGGGGGAGGGGCTGCATTGCATAGAATATTATTTTTTTCCCTGTGTGTCTCTATGATGTGTTTATTATATTGTCTGAGAGCTTCACAATCATTATTGGATTTATCTTCATAAAACCCTGTGATATTACAAGGTATTATTTGCTATTTTACATATGCTGAATAGAGGCAGAGAGAGATTAGGGTCAAGTGCCCACTATTTTTGGGTACCCAACTTGAGACACATACTGCCTAATTTTTTTCAGAGCACTTAAAATTTTTATAGTGCTTTATAGGTTTTGGAACACAGCTGCAATTTACTTCAGATGCAGTCCTGAACTGAAAGCTCACGACTTCTGCAAGTCTTGCTTCAAGTGTCATGTTGGGCACCTAAAAAAAGGAAGAACACAACTGGTTGCAATATGTGAAGATTTTGGCGTAAATGACTTGGCTAGAATCACACAGAAACTGTGGCAGAGGTAGAGTTAGAATCCACTTCTAGAGGATGGCACCCAACTGTTTTAACTATAAGACCATCCTTTCTCTCCTTGCAATTCCGGCCTCACTCACTAGACACTTTGCAACTTTTGCAACAAATGAAGCAGGGTCCTACAAATATCAACTTCCCTCACTACACAATTGCAATTAAACTCTAGAGCAGGCCCATCTTGTGAACAGAAGGAGGCCACAATCCTGTGGAAAAAGTATTATGGGACCATGGAAGAGCTGCATACAAACAAGGGAATCAAATCAAGTTTGTACAGGCAACCTTCATTCTGGCATTTCCTAAATTTTCAGTGCTTGATTTTGCAACTTCAATCATGTTTTTAACGGTTGTATGCGATATCCTTGATTTTTGAAGGGAACTGGAACAACAGCAATTCTATAATCTAGCATCATACTGACACCCACCATGGTTCCCCAGTAGTTTCCAAATCCATGGCCTCTCAGTACACATCTCTATCACTTGAGTTAAGGGAAAACAGGTAGTAATAGTAGGCTGTTATCCATTAGGTGGACCAGGTAGTAGTGAAAAAGGAGACAGAACCTTGATCACTAGGTTTTACCACTATTTGCTAACTGCAGAGAACTATAGAGTTTCACAGAATCATAGAATATTGGAAGTCAAGAGGTAGAGTCCAGACCCCTGCCTTCATGGCAGGACCAAGCACTGTCTAGATCATCCCTGACAGATGTCTATCCAACCTGCTCTTAAATATTTCCAGTGATGGAGATTCTACAACCTTCCTATGCAATTTATTCTAATGTTTAACCACTCTGACAGTTAGGAAGTTTTTCCTAATGACCAACCTAAACCTCCCTTGTTGCAGTTTAAGATCATTGCTTCTTGTCCTATCATCAGAGGCTAAAGAGAACAATTTTTCTCCCTCTTCCTTGTAACAACACTTTTAGATACTTGAAAACTGCTATCATTTCACTGCTCAGTCTTTTCTAAATTAAACAAGTCCAATTATTTCAGTCTTCTCTCATAGGTCATTTTTCTAAGCCTTTAAATTTTTGTGTTGCTCTTCTGTGGACCTTCTCCAATTTGTCCACATCTTTCTTGAAATGTGGTGCCCAGAACTGGACACAATACTCCAATTGAGGGCCTAATCAGCACAGATAAAGCAGAAGAATGACTTCTCATGTCTTGCTCACAGTACTCTTGTTAATTCATTCCAGAATCAGGTTTGCATTTTTTTTTTTGGCAACACCATCACACTGCTGATTCATATTTTAACTAGTGATCCACTATGAACCCTAAACCCCTTTTAGCAGTACTCCGTCCTAGACACTCACTTCCCATTCAGTATGTGTGAAAATGAGGGGAGTACTTTGCCTTTGTCCTTATTAAACTTCATCCTATTTACCTCACACCATTTCTCTAATTTGTCCAGATCACTTTGAATTATGACCCTTTCCTCCAAAGCACTTGCAACCCCTCCCAGCTTGATGTCATCTGCCGACTTAATGATCGTATTCTCTATGCCATCATCTAAATTGTTGATGAAGATATTGAACAGAACCAGTCCCAAAACAGACCTCTGTGGAACCCCACTTGTTATGCCCTTCCAGCATGATTGTGAACGGTTATTAACTACTTGATGAGAATGGTTAACCAGCCAGTTATGCACCCACCTTACAGTAGCCCCATCTAGGCTGTATTTCCCTAGTTTATAGATAAGGTCATGTGAGTGTGTGAAATGCCTTACCAAAGTCTTGGTATATCACATCCACCGCTTTTCTCTTACCTATAAAGCTTGATATTTTAATCAAAGAAAGCTGTCAGATGGGTTTGATGTGATTTGTTCTTTACAAATCCATGCTGGCTATTAACTATCACCTTATTATCTTCCAGTTGTTTGCAGAGGAATTCCTTAATTACTTGCTCCATTATCTTCCCTGGCACAGAAGTTAAACTGACTGGTCTATAGTTTCCTGGGTTGTTCTTATTTCCCTTTTTATAGATGGGCACTATATTTGCCCTTTTCCAGTCTTCTAGAATCTCTCCTGACGTCTATGACTTTTCAAAGATGATAGCTAAAGCCTCAAATACCTTCTCTATCAGTTGCTTGAGTATTCTAGGATGCATTTCATCAGGCTCTGGTGACTTGAAGGCCTCTAACTTTTCTAAGTAATTTTTAACTTGTTTTTTTATTTTAACTTCTAAACCTACCCTATTCCCACTAGTATTCACTATGTTAGGCAT